AGCAAAGCAAAGCTGGTTAGGGCCCCACCGGCCCCTTTGAGGACAGGGCAGAAGGAGCCCCCTAAACCACCCACCAGCCCCTCACCCAGGGCTGATTTGGGCACAGGACTCACACATTCATCCTACTACCCAGCCAAGGCCACCTGCTGCCCTCCAGAGCTCAGACTGCGGAGCTAGGGACCTGTGCAGGGGTAGGAACCATGCCTCCTTACCTATGGGCTGTGTTGTTGTTCTGTGCCATAGAGTCAGACCCGACTCATATGCCTCCTTACCTATGGGCTGTGTTGTTCTGTGCCATAGAGTCAGACCCGACTCATAGTGACCCCTCCTTGGGTTTCTGAGGCAGTATCACTACAGAAGTAGATTGCCCCATTTTTCTTCCGAGGAGTGGCTGGTGGGTTTGAACTGCCAGCCTTCTGGTTAGCAGTCAAGTGCCTTAGCCATTATGCTACCAGAGCTCCCACCTATGGGCTGTATCTTTCCCTAAATAATTCCACCACCAGTGCCCCAAGTCCTCAAAGGGCAGAGGCCACCTCCCGCCTGCCCAGCCTCCTTACCCCTTCCCCAGCTGCAAGAACCTCCAAGATCTCGAGGCTGGAAGACCGGCCCCAGCCCGCCTGACGGGGGCCCTGCCTGACGCGCGGGTGCGGCTGAGTCGTGCCGGGACAGCTCCGCGCAGAGCCCGCGGTGAGAAGAGGGCTGATCCCTCCCGGGGCAGCAAGGAAGCGCTAGCCTTTGGGGAGTCGTGTGTGTCAGGATTGGGGGTAGATCTGGCTGGGGAATGAATGACTGAATACATGAATGAATGAATGAATGAACAGAGATGGTAGGGGCGGACCATGGGAGTCCTCCTAATGAGGGTACCCTTGACTGCTTCGATCCCACCTGGACCTTCCCTTTGCTCCCAGGTTTGGGCACCTCTCACGGAGCCACAGACTCAGCCTGCATGCACATCGCGGATCCCTCGAGGCCCCCGGGGCGCCCAGGCAGCGCGGCGCAGCTCTGGCCGGGAGCCTGCGTTCCCGCGGCCGGGAAGTGCCTGCCCAGCGGGCACAGATGCGAGGCGTAGAGGCGGAGCCACGCCCGGCAGCGGCTCCTCGCGGCGGCCTCCGGGGTCCCAGCCTAGCCTTCGGGCCACAGCTCTCTTACCTGTCCGCCTCCGCGGCCTCGCTCCGGCTTAGAGCGGTCATCACGGAGTCTCCAGAGTGCCGGGACCCAGCGGCCTGACAGAGCGCCCAGCTAGAACCCCCTCCCGCGCAGGCGGAGCGCCCGCCTCTGCCCGCCCATTGGCTGCTCACGCGGGACAGCCCGGCCCACCGGCTGTCCGTCTCCCCCTCTACACCTCTCAGGCGGGGCTTGGAGATCCTATCCTGCAGTGCCAGGGACCGGAAACGCCCCCGGAGGCCACAACCTGGGTCTGCACCTCCTCACCTGTCACCCTCCTCCAGACGCTTCCTCTACCGTCTTCCTGGTTTTGGAGCTCGGTCCCTTCGGCAGCAGAGGTGTGGAAAATGGCACCTATGACACGCACTGAAATTGCTCCCCTGTGCAAATAAATATCTGACACCCATCTTTTAGAGAACTTTACCGTATCAGCTCAAAAATAGAAGTTTGTTAATCTTTTACTTAATAGACTATGGCACTACATGAAAATTATAATTGCACCTTCTTTGCTTTCACTGATGAAAATTGGCTTATGATGTGCTCTTTTCTTTTCTTTTCTTTTTTTAAAGCTGCTTCTCTCCACACGCAGCAGAGCAAAATCAGTCTGCCTTCACCCATGTTGTTGTTATGTGCCGTCGAGGTGGACCCGACTCATAGCTACTCCTCCTTGGGTTTCTGAGGCAGTGTCACTACAGAAGTAGATTGCCCAACCTGCCTTCCAAGGAGTGGCTGGTGGGTTTGAACCGCCAGCCTTCTGGTTAGCAATGAAGTGCCTTAGGCACTATGCTACCAGAACTCCTGAGGTAATGAGTAGGGAACACCAAAGGAGATTTTGAACAAGTCACACCCACTCACCAAAAGAGGTTGGGAGCCAGAATGCTTATAAGCACTTCACCTACAACTGGAAACTTGTCTCTCCAGGACAAAATGCTTTTGGAAGGAAGCAACAGGACTGAAGAGGGCCAGAGATCAAGGTGAGAAGGGTAGAAAGGGCTTTTGGTGGGAGTGTGACAAGGAACTGTATCCAACTGGGTCTTGAAAATGAGACAAAAAGTTCTATTCATCAGCTTCCCTTCTACCCCCACCAGGTAATACCTGGTCCCATGGAGTGATGAGAAAAGAAGGTACAGGCCAGATATGGTCCTATTCCCAACCCTCTCCCACCACCTTGGTCCTGCTAGATCTTGGAGAGAGGGCTCCAAGAGGACCCCAGGAAGCAGATTCTGACTCAGTGCCCCAGATCATACATTTAGAGACAGGGGCCTCTTCCCCAGCTCTCCTACAAGCTCGCTCTCTTGCAGGAAGACCTCAGATGAGTAGCATAGGGCTAGCTCACTCCTGGGGTTAGCTACCAAAGCAGGAAGGAGCACTGCCCTGCCCTCCTACCTTCTGCCCAGGCCAGTCATTAATATTTCCCCCACCTGATTGTAAAATGGACTGTGGAAAGCCGTGTGGTGCTTCTTTAAGGAGGCAGAAATAATGTATGATTGAGCAATCCCACTACTAGGTATATAGAGAAAAAAGAACCATGACACAGATACATGCACACCCATGTTCATCACAGCATTATTCACAATAGGAAAATGATAGAAACTACCTAAGTACCCATTAGCTGATGAACAGATAAACTATGGTACATACACAAAAAAGAATACTATGTAACATTAAAGGATAACATGCAATGTTAAGTAACGATGAATCTGTGAAACACCTCACAACACAGGTGAACTTAGAGGATGTCATGTTAAGTGAAATTAGTCAATCATGAAAGAACAAATATTGTATGAGCGCAATACTATAAAAAATTCAGAAAAGGTTTATACACAGAATCATTCTTTGAAGGTTACCAGGGGTGGCTGGGTAAGGCAAAGTAAATCACTAGATAGACTCATATTAACTTGGGTGAAGGGAAAGGCAATACAATAAGGGGGAGGTCAACATAAAATGATCAAGACAGTGGAAGAAATTGGGTGCGTAAGAGTTAAAGGCAACAAAGGTGAATATTATTACACACAGTCCTGTAAGAACAGTAGTAATAATCCACAAGTGGATACACAGACACACAAGCTGAGTAGAGATGAGAAGGCAAATGGGACTACACCCCTGAATATATAGATTCAACAGAGGGTATTTCTACCTATGTACTTACATATGCTCAAATATATCCATGAATGTAGTAGATCATACAGGGGGCAAAATTGTGAAAACTTTTTAGTCATAACCAAACACCTTGAGGGCATGAGGGCTCAGGACCATAGTGCTGGGGGTGGTGGTGGATGACACCAAGTTGACTGATGTAACACAGTCCACAAAGACAATGTTCTACCTCCCGCTCTGGTGAGTAGCGACTGGGGTATTAAAAACTTGTGAGCAGTCATCTAAGGTTCAACTATTGGTCTCTTCCAGTTTGATGCAAAGAACAGTTAAGAAAATCAAAATGCAAGGAAACAATTAGCCCAAAGGATTAATGTGAATCCCAGCCTCTACAACCCTGAGAATAGAACTAGATGGTGCCCTGCTACCACTGCTGACTGCTCTGAAAGGGATCGAAATAGTAGGTCCTGGATAGAGTGTGAGAAAAAGAAAATGTGTAACAAAACTAAATGATAAAAAAAGACGAGTCTTACTGATCTGATGAGGACTGGTGGAACCCCTGAGATTACAGCCCTTAGACAACTTTCAGGCTAGAAACTGAACTCAATTCGCAAAGCTCAACTTTCAGCCAAATGACAGACAGGCCTGTAAAGTAAACAGTAATACTGGGAGGGTATGCACTAGTTAGAACCATCAACCATTCAAGACCAAGAGGGCAGCATTTACACAGGGATAGGGCTATGAAGATGGGAGGGGATGGGAAAAAAGAAGAGAAGTGGTAGACATGGGGAGAAAGTGGGAGAAGTGCTATTGCACTGTGGGGATTAAAATGAATGTCATAAAACAGAACTTATGTAGACTGTTAGAAAAGGAATTTGCTCTGTAAACTTACCCAAATCATAATACAAAATTAAAAAACAAAACCACCAACTAAACACCTCCCCTACCTGCAGAGCTTTTAAATACACAGGTATCCCACCTCCCCTCCCCAGGGACTGAAAGGGGTAACCAAGAGTCAGCTGCTGCTTTCCCAGCACTCCTGTGCCCGAGATGGGAGGCAGCCTGAACAATACTGTGGCCCCACCATTAGGCCCAAGGCTCTTGCCATTTCCACCCTTCTCAGAGGCCAAGGTTAAACCTCCCCAGCAGAAAAGAAGAAACAGGTGCTTCAGCTTTTTTTTTTTTTTAATTGACATACAGGTAAGACTCTATAGCAACAGGCCTGCAGCAGTGGGGAAAATGGAAGGTGGAGGGTGGAGTGTTCGTCTGCAGTGACAGCTGAGTAGAGTGCAGGAAACAGAAGTGCCCAATGCACAAACAACAAGGTGGGAATGAGGGAGGCCGAGGGGTTGGGGAAGCAAGTAAGGGCCAAGGTCAGAGTCTGCTAACACTGGACCCATTGCCTCACGTCCTAAGGCCCCTGCTCTTGCCATCTCCTAACCCCAGGCCAGCGCTGAGTGTTCTCTGGGCATCCATTTTCTACAGGAACTGAATAAGGGCACAAAGGAAAGGGAGCTATTGACCTCTTGCATTAAGTAAGCTCAGGGCCTCCAGTCCTGCACCCCTTGTTCTTCCCTTGCTTGGGCAGAGCCACATGCTGGGCAGCCAAGCTCTGGGCTACCCCACCTGATAAGGGTCTTAAAACAGTCATGTGTCACCAGACTTTCCTTTTTCTTCCCTGGTGTCCCAGCCCACCAGTGCCACACCACAGCCCCAAGTAAACACTACAAGCGTTGCTGGCCTAATGGATGGGTTGTAGGGAGGGGATGGGACAGGGGCTGGAAGAAGGACTCTACGGTCATCATGGCACAGGCACTACACGCATGGTGTTGGTGAAGCCAGAGCCAGGGCGCCACCCAGTCAGCACGATGACCACATCTCCAGTCTTAAAGAAGCCCCGGGCTTTGCCTGGAGGAAGAGAAGAGAGATTAGTGAGTCAAAGCCAAGACAGGTAGGCACAAGGGACAATTAGGGCCAGAGGGAGTGCGTTGTGCTGGCTAACCATTACTTTCTCAAGCCACAAGGTGGCGCCAGCCTCACAGCCCAAGCAAAGGTGATGAGGGAGGCTGAGATCTCCTTATCACACAGATGGCAGAGTTGGCAAGGACCTTTGGCCATCATTCATTTTATACTCTAGGGGGTGGAGAGCCTTGCCCAAGGCCACAGCTACCTGCTTGCTCTTATCTTGTGATATCCTGCACTTACACAGGGTTCAAAGGCCACATTAACATGTAATCTGTGTGCGTGCTGCCCCTTAGTGCAGAAGCTCTGGACAATTTTGTAAGAAACCTTAATAATGAGCATGTGAGGGAGAATTCACAGATACCATTTGCAGTGAGGGCAAGGTGTGGTCAGTTAGGGCTCCCGTTCTCCCTCTCCAAGGTCTGTGTGTTCTACCTTCCATTCCCCAAACTTTCAGGCTCCCTGTGAGGCCAGTGGGAGCTCTGGTGGTATAGTATCTAAAGCATTTGACTGCTAACCAGAAGGCTGGTGGTTCAAACCACCAGCCACTCCTCAGAAAGAAGACTGGGCAATCTATATCTGTAGAGATACCACCTTGGAAACTCAAGGAGGGGTTGTTATGAGTCAAATCTAACTCAACGGCAGTGAGTCTGGTGGTTTTTGTGTGAGGCCAGTGCCCAGGCATAGTCCCCACCCCTGGTTCTAGCCCTTGCTTCCAGGCACGCACCAACATTCATGGCAAAGTTCACTCGAAGGTCCACATCCTCAGCCCAGGCCGCCTGGACTGGGTCCTTGCACAGCACAGGGAAGATGCCACGGTAGAGGTGGGCCTGACGAGCTGTCTGGGGGTTCCGGGTCACAGCAATGATGGGAGCACGGGGACGGTATCTGGCTACCTGGTGAGCAGACCTGGGTTGGGATGGGGGACAGGGAAAAAGACCATTAAAAAGTGTCCTAGGAGCCTCCCAGGAAGCACCTCAGGGCCTAACAGCTTTGCTTTAGCAATGGCCTACCCTCTGCTCTACTGTGCAGGCCTGAAGACTCTGGCCATTTAAACATCTGCCTCCTGGGCTCCCTAGAACAGCCTCATATCTGGTATCTTGCACAGCATTTAAACCACCTTCACAGTTAAAGTTACTCACTTGCTCTTCACCCCTTCCAATATGCCATGGCCCCAGGATCACCCTGACGCAGCATGGTCAGTCACATCCACTTACCCCATATGGCCTATGGCTGGCTGAAACCTACCCCCTACCCTGACCTTTTCCATTCTGGCACAGGGAGGCTACCCTGGCCCAATCTCACTAGCACCCATGCCTCTTGCTGCCAGCAACAGCTACAAGCTAAGCAGCATGTGAACAACACCTGACTTTTGACATCTACAAAGAACAGCAGCAAGGCCGATCAGCCTCCTGGGAATCAACAGTGTACCCCTGCCCGACTGCTGTGCCCGCTCCTCACCCTATACTGCCACCAAGTCCCAACAACTTAGCTCTAAAGTCCCCGAGTCAAACCTGAGTATCTAAATGAGACTAAAAAGTCTGGGTGCTACCCAGAAAACAAGAACAAGAAGTGGAAGTGTTGGTGTAGAAGCTGCTCTGGTACACTGAGGCTCCTTCAGAAGGCCCTTTGAGACTCCATGTACCAGATGCTTCCTTGAACACTGTACAGTGGTCATTGCAGATATATGACCCTGGTCTCTCTTAGGAGTTGGGGAAGGGCCTGCAGAAGGAACCGGGCCCTACAAACCAGGCTCTGAAGACACTCAACAGGTGTCAGGGAAACTTAAGCTATGTCACAGCAGAAACTGCCATGTTTAATATTAGGCCTTCAGAGGGAAGCAGTTGTTGAAGTTGGGACCAGCTGAGAGTGAAATCCCAGAACTAGAGCTGAAGCTAATAATAGCCAATAGCAAAGGTTGGACCTTTCAACAAAGGTCAACCCTAATGGTTGGAATGGTTTATCTTAGAGTGGGAGGCTAAGCCCCCCTGTTAAGGAAATCTCCTGGCAGCCGTCTTGTTCCGTCTCAGTGCAGTGACTGCCTGGAATCCTCTCCACCCTCCTCTGCCAGGAAACTCTAATCACCTTGCAAGCAAGGATGATGACCACATTCCCAGACTAAGGGTGTCAAAGATGGTAACTATGTTCTGGCCTAGGAAGGGATCCCAAGTCTGAGGCCAGGCACCGAGCCAAGCACAGGCAGGGCAGTCCTTAGAACAAAGTGCCAGCAAGATAACCAGTGACCTTTCCTAGGCTGGAACTCACGTCTTTGGAGTCCAAAGACAGATGGGGAATTGGTACACCGTAACAGTGGATAGAGCAAGTCAAGTGAACATAATTAATTTTCCAAGAGCACAGTGTAATGTTTAAAGAGCACATCTTAATTGGAATAAGCTAAACTGGTACCTTCTACTATTTCAGATGACCAGCTCTTAAACACCAAAAGAACATCTGTCGCCTGCCTATAAGTTATGCCATGAGTCTCTAGTTCACTATGAAGTTATAAACTGGCTTTAGATCCAAATGATCCAATCACACTTTGTGGTTGCAGTCTGGAGTCCTTCAGGGCCAGGAGAGCTCCTGCCCTGCAGGGTCCAGGTGGCAGGCAGAGAGCTCTTACCTTGGCTTAGCACCATCTAAGCAATGTTCAATGCATTGCTCCTGGGATCTCCAAGGAAAGGTGCCATTGAGCAGGGAATCCCCAGGGAGCTGCTGCCGCCTCCTACCTGCCAGACTTGGTGAGGACGATTATGGCCCCACTGCAGCACTTGAACGAGGCCTCCACAGCACCCACGGCGGCAGCTTCTGTGGGGTCGCTGGTAATGGGCGCCAGGCGGCGGAGCTCCTCAAACAATTGCAAGTGGTAGATGGCAGCCTCTGCCTCACGGGCAATCTAGGGGAGCAACATCGTCCAGAGGGACGAGAAGGGGACAGAGCTTTGTCAGCACTTTGTCAGAAAGGGGAAGGGAAGGGAAGAAGTACACAGACAGCTGGTGAAGAACACGGCCATTGGTCCAAAGGTCAGGAAGATACCAATCGCTGAGCAAAAACAAGACTCACAGGGACCAGTCCTTCACCAGGTGTCTGTGACACCTACTGTGCCTACCATACCAAAGGACCCTCCAGTCCTGCCCTATCATGACCTCTCTGGCTGTCTTCCTGCAGGTGAGAAAAAGGCTCTGAGCCAAGGCCCCAAGCGCAGGGCTCAACCCTGGCTGTCTTCTCCTTGAGCAGTTGGAGCAAGATGCTGGTTATCCTACACAGTGTTACCTGCCCTCAGGGCCCTACCTGCCAGACTCCGTCAGAACTATCAAAGCTGCCGCTAAACACTTATAAGAAGCCTGCACGCTGCCCATGGCCATGGCTTCCATGAGGTCTGTGGAGTGACTTGAGGCTCGCACAAGTTCTTCAAACAGCTTGCGGTGGAACATGGCTGCCTCAGCCTCACGAGCTATCTGTAAGGTTTAGAGGAAAGGGAGGGCAAGGAAGAGGGAGGAAAGAAGGAAAAAAAAGGAGAGACAACACATGGAAAGACAGAATGGGGAATTAATCAGGGAGCAAGTTAACCTTAGGTTAATTGACTAAATTTGTCCTTCACATAGATGCAAAGAGGCAGGGTGGGAAAAGTCAGATTGCTCAGGAAGGTGTGGAGAATCTAAAGCCCTCCAATACAGGGAAAATTAATTCTTGACTGACAAAGCACCATTCTGGGAGCATTTTTCTTATGGAGAGTAAGAGTGGAGGGAAATGTGGGACATAAGATTCTGGCACCTTGGCATGGAAACATGCTCAGGCAGGGCCCACACCACTCCCTGGCAGGGGACTTGCCCATGCTGCCTCATGACACAGCTCAAAGGAAGGAACAGGCCCTCCCTCCTCACATGGCTGTCTGGTTAGCACAGGGTTTCCAGTCTGGCTTCCATGCACATAGGGAGTACTTGATCGGCACCAGACAGGGATGCTTCTAAGCCTTTCCAGTGGCCTGCCACGGAAACTGACTGAGCAGCCCTGGAAATGTGGAGTCAGGCAAAGCCAAAGCCACACAGCTTAAGTGCATTCTAACAAGAAGGCTGGAAAACTTGGGCTAACTTGTGAGGGGCAAGTTGAACAGCCATGTGAAAAGGCAGATGGCTATGGAAGCATGCGGATTAGTTTAATGAGATATTTGATTAAAATCTCATGATTAAATAGTCTGAAGACTCTTTCAAGCATGAGAAAGCCAGTGAATTATTTACAATCTACCTACTCAGATAACACCAAGAATTAGATAGAAAATTTAAGTTCTAGAGGATTATAATGCAATCCCAGGACCTTAGAGAATGATAGATAAAGGAAGAATCAGTAATACCATCTCAGTCATTTGACAGTATAAGCAGATGTGTGGCAGGATTTGTTACGTTAAAGGTTTTCTGTCTGTAAAAAAGAATGGATTGCGTGCAGCCCAAGGACAGGAGAAATAAAAATAAACAGGAAATAGGGCCATACCTGGTACTGCCTAGCCTTTAGTTACAGGCCACTAACTGTATCACATTTAGACATAGGAGAAAGTAGTTTACAGTTAAGAGGAGAAGCTCTGGCCAGTGGTAAGTGGTGACATGGAGGGGTGAGGCTGTACCACCTGGAGGGGCAGCAGCCTAGCCCAGACCCCACTGCTCCATCTTCTGAACAGTGCCATGCAATCCCAGCATGAATTTCTTTCTAAGGTGCTGCCTCCACAGGAAATACTGGGGTATGGGAGACAGGACACACAACTCAGAGCCTGGAGTCCTGAATGTTAAGGACCCCACTACAGGTCCTTATCTGATCCATTCTACAGCAGAGGCATAGAGCAGTTAAATGACTTGTCCAGAGATATATGAAGTTTACCTAGTTTTGTAGTTCATGGTTCAGTATATCAAGTGAAGGTCAGCCACCTTCCCACCTCCAAAGCCATGAGGTCAAATGGCTAGGCAAGGCAATTACAGAGAAAGGGCACACAGAATGGCCCATAAAGGCAGCCACTCTAAAGATTATTTGCTCAAGGTCCACTGTCTACTGGGATAGAGAAAGTACGTGTGGGGCAGTCAGGAGAAAGAGCTAAGAGTTCCTGAGCACCAGAACAGCAATCACATCACACAAATAATGTGACTTATCAGCCAAGGTCAGGGGAAGGGGACTAGTCTCGCTGATTTAGATATGTGAAAATCCACCAAGGATGCCAAAGACAGTCCAGATCACATGAATTCAGGTCACCACTAAAAAAATATTTAATTAAATGACACATCTTCTCTGGAAGTGGTTTAAGTGCAATAATTGGACATACAGAAAGTGAAAGAACAAAGGAAGATATCTAGTCTACAGGTTTTCTTGGAGTTTTTTAAATTTTTTTTGGGGGGAGGGAGGGTCTTGGAGAGCACACAAAGAATGTGGAGTCCTTTGTTGGCTGGGAAAGGAATAGAGGTTAAAGAAAATCCCTATCAGGATAAAAGGCAAGTTCACTGAGCCACACTCTATGCTGTTGGGAGAATGTTAATTCACAGCACTCATTTTACCTGCCAGTGGGGCACACTGTGGGGGAGAAAGAATTACTACCTGTGACTCCTCCAGGTGTTCTCACTGCAGGGCCAGTCAGGATCAACCACTTTCCCACCTATCTTTATTTGTGGACTCGCTATCATTTAAATCCTACTTTTTGGTCTCAGGTGAGTGCAGCAGCTGCATCCCAATGACACAGCAAAGCAGGCCATTACAGGCACCATGCAAGGCCAGCTCACAGTCAGCTCAGCGCAGGCAACAGCCTCTAGTGTGCACCCACAGAGGCACCTGTGAGGGAACACCTGTCTGTGGGAGAGGTGGGGAATCAGGTTGGAAGCCAAAAAAGAGGACATCTGGGAGTGGGAGGCGTTGGCTGTTTTCACAGTGAAAGTTAAAGTCTGAGCAACACTGTGCTATGTCCAATGAGGGAGGAAGCCTCCAGAGCAGAAAGAAATAGGAGAGGAGGTGTAGGTAGGGAAGGCAGAACAAGAGAAGTAGCTTAAAGGTCCTCCACCCCTCCAGACATACTCTGTCACTGCTGTTACTGTGACTTTGGGGAAAATGAAAGATTGCTGGTAAGAAGAGGCGTCTAGGTGTGCCTGTGCTAGCGCGTGCCTTCATCCTCCACCCTGGCCTCCTGCCCTGATGAACTCACCAGGTGCTGCATGCGCACAGCCTCCAGTGGGTAGTCCCCTTTGGCTGTTTCTCCGGACAGCATGATGCAGTCAGCTCCATCCAGGACTGCATTGGCCACATCACTGCCCTCAGCCCGGGTGGGACGGGGCTTCTTGATCATGCTCTCCAGCATCTGGGAGAGGACAGAACATTCATGAGACTTGGCCTGGGCTGTCTTCAGGATAGAATATATGTGCACACAGTATGGCTTTGTGTAGATGAATAGGAGGAGAGTGTGTGTGCACGCATGTGTCAATGTTATGAGGGGTAGGGTCTATGGCAAGAGACTACATAACCTCCAAGCATGTGAATTTCCATATGTGAATGTGAAGAGGTGCACATGCCTGTGTAGCACAGATGACGGGTTTCCCAGCTCGGTTGCACCGCCCAATCATCATCTTCTGAGCTAGGAAGACCTTCTCTGCAGGAATCTCAATGCCCAGATCGCCACGAGCCACCATGATCCCATCGCTGGCCTCCAAGATCTCATCAAACCTGACAGGGAAGGTAGAAAAGGAGAGGTTATGTTGTACAAGGGCCATGGTGATGGAAGAAAGCCTTCCTTGGATTCCTGACTTAGATGCCCACACCAGGATAGCCATCTATTACTGTCATCACGGGTACACAGAGGTGGTGGGGTATGCCAGCCACCTTAGGCCTTTCAGCCAAAGTGGACCTATAGGTCCTATCTGCTGGGTTTCAGATCAATACTGATGTATCACTAGGGGGTGAGGAGAAGCAGGAAAGGGACAGGAGAGGTCCCATTTTCTTTCATCTGCATCTTATGAGGCCCTCTGATGGTGTCTCTCTACCAACCAGCACATCCAAGACAGATAGAGAACCCAAAGCTTGCAGCTTGCTCCCAGACCTAAGGGTCATAGTGGGCACATGGTGCTGCTCCTCCCACACTGCCCAACCACACTCCTAACCCCCAAGAGCAGGTCTGAGTTTTCAGCAGTGCTGAACTCTGCTTCCTAAGAGGTCAAGAAGGAACGGATGTCACACCAAGCTGGCCCTGGTGATTTGGCGCCACCTTGTGAGCAACCGGAAGCTGGAGCAGAACTGCATGCTTTCCTCTGGGAACCACAAGAACCACCCAGACCTAATCTGATGATCCCATCGGCTGCTGCTTTCTATGTGAAAGCAAGGAAGCCATAAGCTTCCATAGGGCTCCCAAGCGAGGAGCGCCAAGAGTCCCTTCTGGGCTAGGACAGAAGTGACTTACCTTCTAACACCCTCATGATTCTCGATTTTGCTGATTATCTTGATGTTTTTGCCTTTCTCTCCCAGGACCTTCCTGACTTCATGGACATCGGCGGCCTTGCGAATAAAAGATGCAAACACCATATCTACATCCTGCTCTACCCCGAACTTCAGATCCTGGATGTCCTTTTCCGACACTGCAGGCAGGTCCACAGCAGCTCCAGGAAGGTTCACACCCTTCTTGCTGCCCAATAAGCCACCATTTTCCACCTCTGTCACCAGAAAGTTAGTACCTGTGCAAAATAGAGAATGTAGGAGAAATAAATAAAGTAACGAGGGCCCATCTGTTAAACAGGAAAGAACTAAGAAGCTGGCTGCCTTTCTCCCCAGTACAGGGAACTGGGAAGCAGCACATCGTAGGGTCCGGAGCCGCACTTAGGCCAAGTGAAATAACCACTTTGTGCCTCAGTTTCCTCACCTAAAAAGAGGTAATAATACCTACTCATAAAATTGTTCTGATGAATCACTATACAAAATGCTTAGAACGGTGCCTGACACTTAAATATTACCTATCATTCCCAGATACACTGGAGCTCTGTCCATATTACATTTGGACATGTATGGAGGATGGAAGCAGAGAGTTAAAAAGTACTAAAGAAGAATAAAAAAGAAATCCTCTCATATGCTCTCTAGATGAAACGACTAAGTTTAAGCTGGACTAAAGTTTGTTTTTGAGAATAATGACTTGTAGGAGGAATTCCTGAAAACAGATAGACCCACTCCTGGTGTTAGCCAACCAAGCTTCCTATCTTCTTTGACTTTTAGGGATGGGAGATGGTTTTAGACAATAAGACACTGATTCTTTCTTGCACCTTTCTCTTTCACCAGCAGAGAAATAAGTCCATCATCCACGTAGACCTTGCTGCCCACTTCCACGACTTTGCAAATGTTCTTGTAGTCCAGCCACAGGATATTCTCATCACACTTTTCCATGTATGCATTATCCAGAGTGATCTTGAGAGTGGCTCCCTTCTTTAGCTCCACCTCAGCAGTGCCACTCTACAGACAAGAGAGTGAGTTGTAAGTCTGAACTTCAGAAATCAGGTCCTACCAGCAAAAATGCAAAAGTCCTTTCCTCCAGAGAATAATGTTCAAATCACAACTAAAAATACAGATAAAGATTTTCTGTTGTGCTCACCCGCTAACCCAGAGAGCGGCAAACTGAAACCACTAGGTGCTCCACAGGAGAAAGATGTGGCAATCTGCTTCCAAAAGGATTTCCAGACTTGGAAACCCTATAGTGCAGTTTTTCTCTGTCCTATGGATTTTTTTTTTTTTTAATTTTTTATTTTTGGAGTATGTGTCAAGGAAATAACCCAAGGGGGAAAAGAAATACAAAACACATCTTCTTCATTTGCAGACCTAAACTCTGAGGAATATGGCTTCCAGGCAGAGTAGAGACTGCTGAGACTCTGGGGCCCACCACTTCCTGGCCTGTCCCTCATGCTTCTCCCCAGAATACTCACGCCTTTGATGAGCCCAGTTCGGATCTCTGGTCCTTTGGTGTCCAGGGCCACAGCAACTGGCCGGTAGAGAATGGGGTCAGAAGCAAAGCTTTCTGTGGCTGTGCGCACGTTCTTGATGGTCTCTGCATGATACTAGGGGAAAAGGAAGGGAGATTAAGTCATACACACACCAGGGTACAGCTGCCATTCCCTTGCCCCATAGCTGATCACTTAGAAAAGGCCAACGGATGTTCTAGACCTTCACGGTCGCACACTAAAAATCCATCAGTGTCTGGCCTCAGCACTGTCCACTGAGCACCCTCTATGTGCTTATTTCAACCTCTTCAGCTTAAACCCACTTCTACGAGTGAAGGAACTCACTCTAAGGAAAAATCTCAGTAACTTTTTAGAATATTGCCACCAAAAACCATTAAGGGATGGGTATAAACATTTCTGAGTATAATGGAAGTCTGTGTGGTTTCAGCTGATCTCTTTTCTCTAGGACTTATCAAATACTTCTAGCAAATAAAGCACACACACTGGAGTGAAAGATCTAGGATTTTTATGTGTTTGTATAATACTGGTCGAGCAGTCAATGTCAGATACCAGTAGAGATGGTAATTCTGAGTGTTTTTTCTTTATTGATTACAACTACAATTTAAACTCAAGTTATTTACATAAGTTAACAGTGATCCAAGCTAAATAACTCATTGCTAAGGTCAGGCCAAAAAAAAAAAAACAAACCCACACACAACATGTTGTTTTTCACAATCACTTTCTAGAGCAGAATTAAGAAGAAAATAGAGTAAGTAAAGGTGGTACTATGCCTTTCTCTAAGCTAACTGTCCTTCGCTGTTCCTCACTTGCAGAAAATCTTAGCTTCAATTTTCTCTCTGACATCCTTTCTTCTGCAAAAGCAGGGCTGTCACTTGAAGGCAGCTGGAACCACAGTTAATCCTTAAGGCAGGTGGTGACTAAAGCTTGTATCTGAAAATCCACAGCTGCTAATTCAGGTATACTCTAGAATGAGGGGAGACCCCTGGGTGGGACAAGTGGTTAACTCATTCACTGGTAACGGAAAGGTTGGAGTTACATCCACCCAGAGGTGCCTCAGAAGAAAAGCCTGGCGATCCTACGGACAAAGAAATCAGCCAGTGACAACCCTATGGAGCCTAGTTCTACTCTGATACACATGGGCTTACTATGAGTTAGAAGTGACTCAATGGAAACTGGTTTTCTGGGCTATGATGAGGATATGGACCACTGGCAGCTGCTGCTTTTTTCTTTTCCCCCAGGAAGCCATTACTGAAGTTTTATTGCTGGCTTGCAATTTTGTTTTTTAAAGGTATGGGTGCTGAATATTGTCAAATGCCTTTTCTTCAAGAGTTGCTGTAAGGAATCAGAGAATTAATACATGAAGAACTTTTTGAAAGTTTGCTTTATGCCACTTGGCTTTTACGAAAGACCTACATTATTACCTGTTTTTGCTAGCCAGAAGAAATCCCAACAGGATCTTTGCTTTTAAGAAAAAAAGCAAACTAGCATTCAGCATTTGTTTTTCAGTGAGCCATTAAAGAGGTAGCAAACTGCTCAAGCAGTGAAGAGAATGGAATTGCCAAGTTCCTTCCCCAGGAACTATACTCAGCATCTTAGCATAAATCCGCCACAGCTTTCAACCATGTGAACACTGTATGTTACTGTTATTTTAGATTTTAAGTGTTATTTGGTAGGTTGTTTTTTGGGTCTAGGAATAACCCCCAAAACTTCCCATATAAATTAACGGTAATTGCTTCTTTGCTTGATGGCATTTCAGCTTACGAAAGGTTTCATAGGAACACTCTACTTTTATTTATTTATTTATTTTATTGTGGTTTGGGTGAAAATTTACAGAGCAAATTCACTTTCCATACAGCACTTCACATACACTTTGTCTCATGACATTGACTCCACTTTCCCACAATGCAACAGCTGCCCTCCCACTTCCTCCTGATAGTCACCTCTTCCCTGTGTCCATCCCTCCACGCACTCCTCCCCCCTGAGCTGTCTCCCTGGTAACACTCTACTTTTAATAGCAGAGGAAGCCTGTATTTAGAATAAAGTCAGGCACACAATCATTATTTAACAAATGCAACCTATTAATATATATTACGTGGGACCTTGTGTTTCTAGAATAAAATCTACTTGGTTATGTGTCATCTAATTTCTTTAATATACTACTGGATTTGGACTGTGAAAATTTGATTTATTCTTTTGACATCTTGTTCCTAAGTGAGTTTGGTCTTGTAGTCCAGCCACAGGATATCTCACCACACTGTTCCATGTATGCATACTAACCTTTAGTGCTAACCTTCATGGTTTTGGTAGTATACTTGGTTGACCTTAGTATCAGGATATATTGGCTTCAGAGAACAAGTTGGGAAGATTCCTGTACTTGGTTGGGGTTTTGAGCAGTATAACAAAGAATTTATTTGTTCTCTGAAGGGGAGACAGAATTCAGTCATTAAAATCATCTGGGCTTGGGGTTCTGAGGTAGGGCAGGGGGTTGATCTTACAGTTAACTTTTTCCATTTCTGATGGCTTGTTATTGATAGAACCAAAACCAAGCCAAACTCAATGCCATCAAGTTGATTCGACGCATAGCGACCTCTCCTTGGGTTTCCAAGACATCTTTATGGAAGTAGATTGCTCAATCTTTCTTCCAAGGAGTGGCTGGTGGATTTGAACTGCCAGCCTTCTAGTGAGCAGTCAAATGCCTTAGGCACCACGCCATCAGAACTCCCATGGATTGAACGGTGCCTCCAAAAAATGTATGTGTTGTAAATCCTAACCTCTATGCTTGTAGTCATAATCCCATTTGGGAATAGGTTGTCTCTTGTTATGTTAATGAGACAGGTTCAGTATGTCTTAAATCTATCTCTTTTAGGATATAAGAGAGATTAAACAAGTATGCAAGAGAAGAAGAGATAAGAGAAATATGTCAAGCCACATGAAGACTGCCCAGGAATAGAAGCTTAAAGACACAAGGACCTTCCTCCACAGCTGAAAGAGAAAGCCTTCCCTTAGAGCTGGCACCTTGCATTTGGACTTCTAGCCTCCTAAACTGTGAGAAAATAAATCTGTTTGTCAAAGCCACCCATTGGTGATATTTCTGTGATAGCAGCACTAGGTAAGTAAGACATGGCTATCAGTCTGTTCATATTTTCTACCTCATTGATACTTACTTACCTTTTCTTGGAAAAACAGTCAATTTCACCTTGATTTATAAGAATTAAGTTTAAATCTATGACTTTAAAAATCTAATCAATAGGAAACATTCCCTTTTCAACTTATAGATTTATTTGTGCATCCTGATACTTTTTCTTTTAATCATTAAAAAAAAAAAAAAACCCTTTTTATTGGGATTTGAGTGAAAATTTACAGAGCAAATTGGTTTTCTGCTCAACTGTTCATACACCTTTTGTTTGGTGACACGGAACGTAGTCCCCAAATTTGACAGCACTTTTCTCCCTTCCTCTCTGTGTTTACCATTTCCTTTTGTCCTTCTTTCCTATCCATTTCTGCCATCTGAGCTTTATCCCTGAGCAAATGCTGTCCTTTTGATTGCCTTTGGTTGACTGACCTTAACCAGGCTTTCTCCCAAATAATCAGCTCTTGGCTTAATCTGTCAAAACTGTTTTCCATTTTAAGCTATACTTTTAAATCAATTCCTTTCTTTTCTTTCACCTTTTTTAGGTTTATGCTTCTTTCTAACTTTTTGAGTTAAATATTTCATTTATTTTCTTGGGGCAATCTACTTCCATAGTGATACTACCTCAGAAACCCAAGGAGGGGTCACTATGAGTCAGGTCCGACTTGATGGCACACAACAACAACAACAACAACAACAACATATGTGTGTGTGTGTGTGTGTGAGATCTATATAACTTTTTTTAATGTAACTTGTGTTTTTTTTTTTTTAAAGCACACAGGAAAGTTAATAGATGTTTGTAACCAAGGTTTTTTTAAGTAAATAAGCATTTTGGTCTTGGAGATGCAATCATGTATTATACATATACCAATTAGATCACTAGGTTTTCTATTATTGAAATCCTCTGTTATGTTCTGGCTACACTTCTGGGAGGTGTATTAAATACTTCTAGTATGGCTGTGGTTTTGCTGGCACAGTATCAAGAGGTAAATTCCATCAATAAATCCTGTTCTTGTATCCTTATGTTCTAAATTTAGGTTGCTTAAAAGTTACTATTTCTGGCCAACATGGCATTATAGTACTTCCGTGTTCAGCAAGAACACATCTTGCTCACATGAGGTGCCAAAGTAGGGGTAGAGACTCAGTGCCAAAGCTGTCAAAAGACCAGATCCAGAGAGTGGGTGTCCTTCTGTCAGAGTGAGAGAGGGGAAAGCAATTTCAAAGTTCTGTTCAGAAGAGTATTTGAAACAGTGAAGAACAGGATAAGTGTATCCCAACCCCTAGTCAAAGGTACACGGTCTACAGGGCATATGAAAGAAGAGCCCTCTGACACACAGTCAAATTGTTTACATTGTACTTCATTATACAGTATCAGAACAATTTCAGACGAGTTTCCAAAAACTCTTAAGCCTAGGGACAATGTCATTTTGGTCTAAAACCTCAAAATAAATCCTTTAGAAGGACTTCTTTTTCCCAAAATCCAAATTCTAATCCAAGAATAAGAGTTAAAAGCATAGATAATTTCCAAATGCTTCTTGCAGTTTAAAAACCAAAAATCCCAAGCCAGCTGCTATGTGGCAGGTGCAGCAGCCATCACTCGCCTTTGCCATTTTAAAGCTGGGTGGTGTTATTTTACTGGATTGAAGAGGCCACAAAGCCTAGTTAAAGGTCAACTTCTAAAAATCTATTTCTGCTCCTTCCCCTCCCCACAGGAGACCTGGGGACACTCCAGCAGCAGGGATCAATAGTAAACAGATCCTTCACTGTTGTCTTTAGCATTCTCTCTTTGGGCTAAGCTAACATTTGCAGCAATTCCTGGTGACTCCTGCTGAGGACCCCCTGCCCCTGCCTTTGGAAAATAGAGAATGTCAACAGAGACATGTCTTAACCTACCCAAAGTGCCTGCTCAGCACAGTCCCTCTGAACTTGGTCAGGCCCCCATGACATTTGGACCAGCTGCCTGCCACCAGGCCATAGGCCATTTATGGAACATGGGTTAGGGAATCCATGATGAAAAGGAGTATCGTGTTTCCAGAAAAAAGAAATTTGCCTCTTGGATTATAGTTCCTGAGACTTTATTTTTAGTTTAAATTTAACATCAGCTTCCAAATGGCAGGTCAACCCCATACCACTAGACCTCAGGTTAGCATTGTCTTTACACTGAACCAGAAGTACGGAAGACAAAGGAGGTGAAAATTTACCTCCTCCACTATTCCTCTACCAATGCCACTGTGAAATCCTGTGGCCTACATATGGTCAACCTGAAGGTTTTTTTTTTTTTTTTTTGCACTCCCCCCGCCTTTTTTTTTCTTAAATTATGATTTAGGTAAAAATTTACAGAGCATATTCATTTTCCATACAGCAGTTCGTACATTTTATTTCATGACATTTACTTCAATCCTCACAATGTAACAGCTTTCTTCCCACTTCCCTGTGTCCTTCTTTCCTATGCATTCCTGCCCCCTGAGCTATCTTCCTGTGCAAACACTGCCCTTCTGTTCTCCCATGATCTGTTGTTCTAAAGAGTGTATCTATATGGTGGTATAAATGTTCACCAGCCTGAAGGTTTTTTAAAGGTACTGTCCCCCTCAGGAAGAGGCCCTCCTCAGAATGGTTGGCTCTAAAAACTTGAGAAAAGAAGCAGGAAAGGAGTCTTCCCAACAGCTGTCAGCTGGTCCCTGGATAAGGCTTCTGTCTATAGGTGAAAACAGCTAATGAAGATCCCCAGCACAAACGCACCTCTGTAAATTCTTGGGGAAGAATGCAGATTTCATTTTAATGTACCAGAACCCCTGGGAGGAGATAGGCTAGGAATACAGCGCCAATCCTGAAACTGAATCCACTGCCATGAAGTCAATTCTGACTCATAGTGATCTCAAAGGACAGGATAAAACTGCTCCACAGGGTTCCCAAGGCTATAAATCTTTATGGAAGCAGACTTTTTCATCTTTCTCCCACAAAATAGCTGGTAGTTTCAAACTGCCAACTTTTTGGTTGGCAACTGAATGCTTTAACCACTGCACCACTACCCTAGAAAACACTATGGGGGCAGTTCTACAGTGTCACACAGGATCACTATGAATTGAAATCAACTCAACAAATATACCAGACAGTTAGACACAGTTCTTAATGTACATTAATGTATACCTTCTCCTGGACCTGGTCCAGTTATCCTAGATCTCTAAGAACTAGGTCAGAATACATCTACAGAATGGGCCTTTGGTTCAACACTACAATCCAGACTGCTACACAAACTCTGGGACAGGAGTATTGAGCACTAAAACCCACTTAATGGCTTAGAGGGATTTCCAGTAGAATCTTTCCACACTTTCCTTTGTGAAGACTAATAGTAACACAGGTCTGTAGGGGAACCAAGCCAATAACAAAGTAAAAGTAGATCTCTTTTGCTTAAGGAGATGTGGCCAGTTGAGGCGGCTAGAATGGGAAAGGAGAGTACAGATGGGCTAGTAAAGATATTTTTCTCATTGGCTATTAACCTCAGACTTCCACTTGACTGCTTCACTGTGGCAAATGAACAACACACCACCACCCCCATTTCCCTACAAGCTGGCCCAGTGGCCATACTGCCCAGCTGAGGCTCACCTCATGAGTTCCATGAGAGAAGTTCAGACGAGCCACATTCATTCCAGACTTAATCATCTCCTTCAGTGTTTCCACTGACCGGGAAGCTGGGCCTATTAAAAAAAGAAAAAAAAAAAGTTTTTAAGTCACAAGTATTAACTATTCAAAGTAGGAATAACACACCAGTTTGGTAAAATAATTCTTTCTGTTTTTTTCATTTTTTCTCCATAAATGTTTCCTCCTTCAAATAGCTTTAAAAGTCTTTCAAAGCCTCTGTGTTAGCCCACTCTCTTGATTTCCTCTAAAATCTGCACGTTACCTTCAAATTAGAAAAGTGTCCGGATAAGGCTTGGCCAGCCCTCTTTGTTCTCATTGAAAGCTAGCCAGATGTCCCAACCACAGAGCATGTCAAAAAGATCTTTCCTGGATCTCTGAGATGCTCCTACAAAGATCCACTGAAGTGACCCTCTAAATTGCCTTTATAAGAGAACACAGAATATTCTTTATCACAATTTCCTATCACCTGAGTTCCCATAAGAATCTGTAAAGCATCTCACCCAGCACCCAGGTTTACTACATTTATTTAGTCTTTTCAGGAAAGAGACAGTCACTGTCATGTGAAGCACTCATGTATGCTGGGTGAAGACTCACCAATGGTACAGATGATGCCAGTGTTCCGAGCCGTGATGGGTGCCGAGTCGATGTCCAGGCGACACATGTGCTCCAGGAATGTGTCAGCCATGGCTGCGTGCAGCTGCTGGGTCTGAATGAAGGCAGATCCCACTTCACTATGGGGCTTTGACATGGCTTCTGAGGTCCTGAGTCCAGGAGAATCAAAGGGATCAGTGTGATAAGGCCAGGTGGTTAATATACTATTTGGCACAAGAAGCCACCTCCTGCTTACACATTAACTCAATAAGCACAGTTTGTGCATAAGCAAGAGAGGACCCAACCACACTCTGGTTACGTGAATACTCCTTGCATTGGGCAAATGGCTCTTAAAGAACAAGTCTGAGCCTCTCCTACCTTACTCTGGGCTGACAGCTTTCCCTAGCAACTCTAAAAACAGTTACATTTACCTGCACCAAAGAACTTCCTCAAAAGGAGGCTGTAACCAGTCTTCCAGTGTACCAACAACTGACTCCTACTTTATCATCACGGTAAATATAGCTCTTTGTATGATGAGTTGTCTCAAAGCAACAAACATCTGGTATGGGGTAGGAGGGATACCCACATTGTCTCTTTATAATCCCTACTCAAACCCAAGTGATTTCCCTGTTGTACACCCAACTGTCCAGGCAGTCTCCCCAACTCTTGAATCCAACCCTGAGTATCACCTGAATCGTTGAAGTTTGTTTATTCTTTGACTCACACAAGGCCAACAGTAGTTCTTAGTCCACTGAAAGGGATCAAAAACCAGTCTCTTTACAGGTAGCAAAGTCCACCCACAGCCCTGAATGCTAAATCTTTCATCCCAAGAGATCGTACCTAAAAACCACATCTACTTTTGGTCAGGAACAATTTAGGATATGCAAATCAATTTGCACACAACCAAAGAAAACTACAATGGTACTTGGTCTGGTTCTAAAATTACTACTACTACTACTACTACTACTACTACTACTACTACTACTACGTTATCAGGATAACTGTAAGGTGAGTCATATATTTTCCCCACCTGGTTTTCTGATACATCAGTCTAATTCCCTTCCTATGGCAAAGATTGTCAGTTCCAGGTAATTAACCAGCCAAGGTCACAATCCTGACAACTGCCCTGACCTTTGCTTTACCTTCATTACTGACTTAAAATTAAACTACTCAGCCATTTAGCTGATTTCCTGTCAGTGTTTGGAAGCATGACACCCTTCTGATTCTCCTATGTCCCTTTCCTCAAGTCCTCACACTAAGGGCTGTTCCTTCTAAAATGCTTTCAGCTATATGCTTCAGCTGAGGCTCAGGAACAAGCTCCCTTTTCTTCTGTCCCACCTCCTCCTCAATTTCAGAACCCAAAATCAAGACATCTCTTACTTCTTATCCTATCTCTGACTTTGTGACCTCTCTGCAGGGCCTCAAGTAGAGTACACATCTAAATCTAGAACTCTGCCATCTCCACAAAGGTCTGGTAAAAGCTGCAGGACCATTTGGCAAGTAGCCAACAGGATCTTAAAAGCTTGCAAGTGGCCATCTAAATGTAACAATGGGTCTCTCCTTATCCAGATCAAAGAAGAATGATGAAAATGAAAGATGAATGGAAACAACTAGTCTAAGGGACTGGTATACCATGCAATCCTCAGCCTATACGACTATAAGACCAGAAGAACTAGATGGTGCCCGGTTACCACTGTCAACCACTCAGTTGTTGTTGTTATGTGCCCGTGAGTTGGACCCGACTCATAGTGACCCCTCCTTGGGTTTCCGAGGCACTATCACTACAGAAGTTGATGCTCCATCTTCCTTCCAAGAAGTGGCTGGTGGGTTTGAACCTCCAGTCTTCTGGTTAACAGTCAAGTACCTTAGGCACCTATATAGGAGATCCTGGATTGAGTGGGAGAACAATGCGGAACAAAATGCAAAATCAAAAAAAAAAAAAATTAGAGAGGCCAGGTTTGCTGCTCTGATAGAACCCCTGAGACTATGGGGTTCCATAGGTGCCCTTCAAGTCTGGAATTGAATCCACTCCTATGGCTTCCAGCCAAACAAAAGACAGGCACAGGAACTGAACATTTACATTAGGTAGATACACTTCTTGGAGAGATCAATCATGGGAGAATAGAAGGGCTATATATGCACAGAGAGACAGCTGGGGGGTTGGTGCAGAAGTGCATGGGAGGGAAGGACACAGGGAAGAGGTAACTATGGGGAGGAAGTAGGAGGGGAGCTGTTGTATTGTGGAAAATTACGGTCTATGTCATGAGACATAATGCCTGTGAACTGCTATATGGAAGATGAATTTGCTCTGTCAACTTTCACCAAAATCACAATAGAAAAAAAAAAAAAAGCTTTGTGACCAGTGATGAGCAAACAACCTGTCAGTTATTGAAAATGAATGGCTAGAGGTCCTTACCTATAGACTCTAGAATTTTAACAATGGAAAAATAAGACACTGGCTAACTAATCTATATGGCAAACACATTGTTCATTAGTATGCATTTCCTAACCCCCTATACATGCTAGCTACCAAAATGAGTAAGTCAATCCTCTCCTCCTAGCACGTAGTACTTGAAGGCATTCCAATGCTTACTGACTGGCCTTTCAGTCTAACTTAATGCCTCCTTGTTCAAATCAAAGCTATGCCTCCAACTCCCCACTCTGAAGAGATTCTGAATCACTGACACAGTGTCCCTTTAACAACACTCAGGGCATTTATACCTTCAGAGCATCCAGCTAGGCTTAGGTAAGACTGGTTGTGAAAGGAGTATTACTGAAGGGTAATACCAGGTAGCACAAAGACACAATGGCCTTGCTGTAGCATCTAAAGGGAGACTATTATTCAGTCCCAGGAATGTATTGTGAGCAAAGGAAGGTCTGAATTGAGTGGGTTGAAGAAACTAATCCCACTCTTCTTTAAAACCAACTGCTGGCTCACTCTTCTCTAGACCCGAGACATTAGTCTCCTGGCAAAGAGCTGGCTGGGGCCACTGATGATCAGGTCGTCCTACCTTTTGTTCTCTGGGCTTGGGCCTCCGGTGACATAATGCTCTTTTTTTTGCTCAGGGTGGCTCTTTGGCCCCACTTGCATAGACCGCTCGGAGCTGAGTACGGTTTGCCCTGGAGAACTGTACAGGATTAAGGTAAAGGCTGAGTGTAATAAGAGCTCTTCGGAGTCATGGCGAAATTATCTTAACAACCAGGTACCTCGGTGGTAGCTGGTCCTAGAAATTCAGCTAAAAACAGAAAAACCTCCCAAGAAAATACTAAGAAATGGATGAAAAAATTCACAGGTAAAAGGTGCTACTCTTCTGTTGAGCCCTGCTGTGGTGTTGCCCTCCCTCACAGCAACCCTGTAGAGCACAGGACTGCCCCACAGGGTTTCTTAGGCTGTAATCTCCACAGGAGCAAACTGACAGATCTTTCTCCTATGGAGCCATTAATGGGTTCAAACCACCAACCTCTTGGTTAGCAGCCAAGCGCTTAACCATTTGTGCCACCAGGGCTCCTTTGTGGAGCTTTATGTCCTCCCAAAGACTACCTTTCCCCTGAAGTTCCCTTAAATCCATGGTTTACTAATAATTTATTCTATATAAGAATGTAGTCCCCCACCTCTACCCCTTTTATGGAGGAAGGAGAGGGACACCAAAGCAAACAGGGACTAAAAAGGATACATTGCAAAATATTAACAGCATGTCATCTGGGTGGTAGGGTGACAGCACATTCTTTTTCTTTCTCTTTATTAAATTTACTGATGTGAAATATTTTTATAATAAGAAAAGTTACAAGCCTACCCTTTCTGAAAATGATATATTTTGTAAAGTATCCAGTAGAATTGTTGAGCAGAATGAAATGAAATGTGAAGCTCCCAGTTCCATTACTGGACTCCCGCTCTGCACAGCTCCAAACACTATGCTTAAATGTGGTAGACACTATTCATTTCCTAGCCCCTAGATAACTAATGCATCACAGAACAGTTTCACTGGCTCAGGAAAGTCACACCTGGATCCATTCAGAACCTCAAAGCAAATATCTGTTACCTGTTTGTTACATGCCCAAATCCAGCAAACTTCTTTTCCTATTCAGTCTATCATCAAGCTTTACAATAAAATCTTTGTGACAAGAGAGGTCTGGGACAGACGGGCTACCTCTTAGACCAGAAGATGTCATCAGCACATCCAATGCTATGCAGCCTCAAACATAAACCCTATTCCATCATCTTGCACTAAATCCACAGTCTACAAATTCTCATCTGTTACTCACATAAGCTATTAAATAGTATAAAAATGACAAATGAAAATTTGGCAGTTTAGTGGATTTGCACAAAAGCAATAAAGCAAGCTGGCCTGTCAGCAGTCTATCCAGACTCCTAACAAGGTCTCTCATATCCTGAATGTCCACCACCAGACCAGAGACATTGTGTCTCAACCTCAGATCATCAATTGGTCTCTTCCCCTAGGCTCTCCCTGGAGACTCCCAATTTTGGCAGGACACTCACCTGTCCTGCCCCTAGCCTGTCTTGCAGGGACAGTCAGAGCTCTACTGCCCGTCTCCGTAAGCCTCTTCTCCCCAACCCACCAACCATCTACCTAAAGCTGTACTTACAGCACCATCTGGAATCTCATGCAGACCCAGGAGAACAGCCCAGCCTCAGGGCAAGGCATGCGAAGGGCTCCTCTCCCTCCTACTAGTCATCTGGACAATGCCTGCCAGGACATGCAGCCCAGCCGTTACAGTCTGACTCACTACTGCATCCTCCTCCTCGGGAGGCACAGACATGCAGAGCCAACCTCCAGCCAGCAGCAGAGGCCAGGCATATCCACTGTGAGTGCCATACACCATGCCCAGGAATAGGAGCTTTATTCTTGAGCCTGAGTCCCTGCAGTAGGATCCTCCTCAGAGCCATTTCTCCTCTGTGAGAAATGAGACACCATTAGAGGCCTTAGGCCAGGCTGACAGGTTCATACATTCGTAGCTCATGTCCACATTCCCTGACTGCAGCTATCTCTCATCTCAGGGGGCTCCTAGCTCTCCAAAGTAGTTTCAATTGTGCCACACACACTTCTTGGTCACTCTCCAGAAACCAGAGAAAAGAACATCCAACTACCAGACACCCCACTTCTTAAGAGAGCTGTCTGGTTGTGCTGGGAAAGATTCACGCTTCATTTCATTCCACCTAATCTATCTTTCACAAAGCCCCAAATCATTCTGCTCCAATAAACCAGCCAGGCCAGAGTCTGCATCTGCACTGGCATAAGCCAAAGCACCAACCACGGCTCTCTGGACTGATTGTGTTCTGACACCAAACTCATCATAGGCCTCAACCCTCAGATGGCACCTGAGGCCCATTATCTCCCTCCCACATTGCTTGTAGGTACCCAAGACCATCTTCCTTGCTCTGACACCAACTTGCTACCCACATCTCCAAGAAGCCCTCGTAGTGCAGTGGTTAAGTGGAGATCATGTTAAAAATGTAGATTCTGATTCAGTATAGCTGGGGGGAAATGCAAATTACCAGCAGGGGTCAAATCTGAACAAACCAGTTGGAATCCCTGTTTGAACCTTATCAGCAGGAACCTAAGGTCCAGGATCAAGCTAGAGTAGGAAACAGCACAAAAGCCAACACTTAATGGGCTTACCCCTAAAAGAAACCTTGATGTCTTAAATGCCTAAGATTTCCTGGTTTTATCCCTGATGATCAGAGCAAAGAACTGGTTTCACTTTGAAAGGAAGTGTGGATTAAGTTTTTGTTGTGTTATGTCATGTGCAAGAACTTTGTTGTCAGTTGTACTTCTGTCAATTCTGACTCAAGTGACAATGCAGAACTGCCTCGTAGGGTTTACTTAGCAGGAATCCCTGCAGGAGCAGATCCCTAGGTCTTTCTCCCTGGAGCCACTGGATGGGTTCGAACTGCCAACCTTTTGGTTAGCAGTCAACTACTTACCTATTATACTACCAGAGCTCCTTAAAATCAAACCCATTGCCACTGAACCAATTCCAACTCATAACGAACCCACAGAACAGAGTAGAACTGCCCCATAGGGTTTCCAAGGCTGTAAAGCTTTGTGGAAACAGTCTGCTTCATCTTTCTCCTGGAGTGGCTGGTGGGTTTGAACTGCTGACTTTTTGGTTAGAAGCCAAATGCTTTGACCACTACACCACTAGTGCTCTTTCCAGGGCTCCTTTTTAGGCTTCAAAAGCAAGGCAGTGTTCCTGGGCTACCTTCTGGGGATGATACCCACTCTGGAAACAGTGAGGGGGACTTGGAACCCTGGTTTAGGGCCCTCCCAAGACAGATGTAGTGAGAGGGGTGAAGGTCTCAGCAAGTGACACATTGGCTCAACATTTGAAGGAAGAGCTGCCCTGCATCACCTGTGCGTGTGGCAGGGTGAGCAGTGCCAAGACCAGTCACCTAGTTATAGTTAGTACAATTACCACACCCCTCCAGACCTCTCAACCCTGTCATGAATTCTGATACCCAATCACTCTCATAAAAGTTCACTTATGTGTGTCTATATATTATCTGTATTTGTACTGAATCCTTTATTTTGTTGTGGTTTTAAAAAATGATCCTAACTAGTATATGAAAGAGCTCTGCTGGTGCAGTGGTTAAAGCACTGGGGTGCTAATCAGAAGTTTGGTGGTTCGAACCCACCAGCCGCTCCATGGGGGAAGGATGAAGTAGTCTGCTTTCAGAAAGATTTACAGCCTTGGAAACCCTATGGGGCAGTTCTATTCTGTCCTATAGGGTTGCTATGAGTTGGAATCAACTCGATGGCAGTGAGTTTAGACTTTTGGTGGGTAAGTAGTATACCGTACATATCATTGAACAACTTGCTTTTTACTCAACATCCCATTTAAGATCCATCCAGTTATCCACCGGTACCAGTTGCTGTTGAGTTGATCCTGACTCATGGAAGGCAACCGCTTATGTGTCAAAGCAGAACTGTGCTTTCATTTTCATAGGGTTTTCAGTGGCTGATTTTTTGGAAGTAGATCACCAGAGCTTTCTTCCAAGGTGCCTCTGGGTAGACCTGAACTTCTAATCTTTAGGTAGCAGCTGAGTTCATTAACCATTTTTCCCACTGTATAACTAGGCCATTTTTAATGTATGTACTACTCTACTGGTAGCCTCCATCCCCCATTAATCTGACTTTCCCCTATTAATCACTACTATAATGCCTCCTTGTGCATGTATGAGCTTCTATAGAACTGTACCCAGAAAAGGAATTTCTGGGCCATGAGTTGTTTATTTTGTTTTATTAAATATCGTCAAATTGTTGTCCAAACTGGTTAAACCAATCAGTTCCTGCTTTCCCACACTTTTGTCCACACTTGATACTATTAGTTTTAAAATATTTGCCTGTCTGATAGCCAGCATTTGTTGGTCTGCTCTTTAATGTCAGTAACAAAAGAGGGATTTCAGGATGTTGTGTTTAGGAAGCCTCTGTCACTTTCCTAACTCTTAACCAAAATCCTGTTGTTGTTATGTGCCATCAAGTCGGACCCGACTCACAGCGACCCCTCCTTGGGTTTCCGAGGCAGTAGATTGCCAACCTTCCTTCAGAGGAGTGCCTGGTGGATTTGAACCACCAGCCTTCTGGTTAGCAATAAAGTGCCTTAGGCACTACACTGCCAGAGCTCCTACCCAAATTCCTAGGTTCCTCCAAAAAGAGCATGCCTGACACATTCTGTCCTATGTGCCATGGCCGAGATTGTTCCAAGTTGAAGAAATATTATCTGTACGTTGATGAAAGGTACTAAGATGCGATGAGGCTCCCTTCAAACAATTTTTTTTTTTTTTTGCCAGTCACAATTAACCAGCAAAGCTGGTCCACTTTCCTTTAAGTACTATGACTAGCACTCTCACTGCCCTATTCCAGCTAGTTTTGCCATCTCCACCACCATAACCTCAAGGCTGATTTCTGAACACAGCTTGCTGACGACAGGAAAGAGAAGCTTTTAGAGCTTCTCAGGAGCTTTGCCTATGGATGAGAGAGAGGGAGGGCTGTCTCAGAGGCCACCATAGGTACTGCAGCCATGACATGCTCTCCCTCCTACGTGCAGACAAGCACAAACCATTGCAGGGGCCAGATGGCCCCGCCTGATGGCCCTCCCAGC